CAAAACGTTTATTGATAACAAATCCTTAACAAAAACGAAAAATAATAAATTAGTACATAAGTAATGAAATATGAAAAAGGAAAATAAAATACACACGTACCCTGCAAATCGACAAATGTAGGCGTCATGTCGACAAGACGTTTTCATTGCGAGTGCTCGTCTAATAGTAACATTGCATGATATGTCCCTCTTTTTTTATTCAGTTGCACAGCGGATGTGGTCGACGGGGGAAGTATTAAGCAATAGATATATCTGCGTTTTAAAAACTGATGAAAGAGAACACTCATCCATTTAAAAATAAACATTATTCACTTCCTTCGTTATTCCAGGTATTTTCATCAAATCGTCGGCGACACAATCCAAAAGACGATCCACCATGAGCTGTTTACGATCTGTGCTGGAAACTGTCAAAAATTGCGATTGAATCTTCGCGTGTCTCCACCATTGACGTTTTTCCTTCCCCTCGATATCGTTGACATTGTAAATGTCAAGTCGAATCAATTTGTGTCCGGTGTCCATCTCCGGTGATCTCGCGGTGTAAATACGACCATTGTCCAATTTAGTGACGTACTGAGAAAGTCCGTCGGTCCTGCTTCGTTTAACAGCTGAGGCGAAGAGTGTCTCCACACCTCCGATTCCATCCGACAAAGCCTCTGCATCGACTTTTCTCTTCAATACTTCACATACCGTCGACACTTGACGTTTGATAGACTCCTTCAAATCTTTTATCCATTCAAAGTAATTATCAGCACTGATAAAAATATCCATAAACATGGAACGCAACGGCTTATTTTCAGACATCGCGAGAAACCGATGAAGCTCTTTCGTGGAATAATTCATATTCGTGCAACCTTTTTTCTTCAGAATATACGTACAGTATAAGTATAGGTATAAGTATAAGTAAAAGTATAAGTGCAAGTATAAGTAAAAGTATAAAATACATATTGTTACGAGTAAACGTGTATGCATGCTAATGTTACGTCCAAGGCCCAGGATTAAGGAAGGGGCATGGGAGGACGCAACCGACACCGCTCTCATAGCTATCGCGTGCCACAAGTCAGGGACGCGTAAGGTCACAGATGTGGGTCAATGTCAGGGTGTGACACTATTACCCGATCTGAGACTGTGTCTCCGTCGGTCCCCTTTTTAGATCAAGGAACTTAATCTTTCTGATCAGGGATCGGACCGTGCGATCTAATGGGATGAGGAATGAGTCGTAAATTTTCGTTAATGAACTACAGCGATTTTTAGTAATTACATAATAAAGAGTTTATTATTTTTCTATAATTCAAGCACATACATATATTAGAATAACTCAACATTCGTATAATTATGTATATTTATCGCTATTGTTTTTATTTTTAAGAAAAATAACTAAAGGAAATAGAATACCTTAAGCATTCTTATTAAACATATATATATATATTTTACGATTATTGAATAGATATATATATAGATAAAGAGAGCAAATACTTTTAAAACTTATAATATCTGAATATTCTTATTAAATATGTATATGTGTGTGTGTGTATATATTACAATTATTATACGTGTACTCGTATATTTGAACATTTCTTAGTTTTTCTATGCCTTAGTCTAATGTAACGGTGTATGTTTCAGTAATGGTACAAATCTGGATATGTGTAGATGGTTGTGGGGATGGAAGGGACATGTCCACATCGAGGTATTCTTTTAATTCTCGATATAACGCGTTGTGAGTGATATTTTCTTCGAAAGGGACGGGGGAATAAGAGATAGGGGTAAGAGGAGGGAGAGAGTGTGAAATTGTTTCGTATGGAGGAGGAGTTTCGTCACCGGTCAAATCTACTACTGGGATAGCGCTGGTCGTTGTCGGTGGTTGCTATTTTTTACGATACGTAAATTGTTGGTTAGGTTTTATTAATTCTCGGCGAGTTTGCCCAGGAAGGTTCCTGTTTGAATCTTTTTGATGGTCGGAATTCCCAGCCGGGGCAAACCCTCAACTCTCCTTCGCTTCCCACGTCCCGCACGATGTTTATTGTTCCATACCATCTAATGAAATATTTCTCTCATTATGGGAAATTAGCAAGGGAAAGAAGAATCTAAGGGGAGAAAGAGAGGGAGGGAGGGAGGGAGGGAGGGAGGGAGCAAGAGAGAGAGAGAGAGAGAGAGAGAGAGAGAGAGAGAGAGAGAGAGAGAGA